CCTGCTGAATTTTTTTTTAAAGTCCCATAAAACACACCAAAGCTAGAGCTTTGATCACTTTAGGTAGAAGAAAAATGTGAATATGAACTTTTCCACATTCCGGGAGTACCATGGGGCTGAGGGTGTAAGAGCAGATGACCTCCCCTGGTTCCTGCAGGGCTTTGTATGGGGCAAGTTGGCTGCTGCTCTGCCGGGTCCCTGCAAGCCAGACAGCTGATAAGTCATGCACGGGTTTTAGGCATGGGGCAACCTTCAACTGTTGGAAGTTGAGCAGAGAAATGCAACCACTCCTGACATCTGACAGTCATTACACCAAGAGTTGAAAAATCTGCGTGCTAGACATAGCGAACTGGCTTTTTCCGAGTATTTTGTGTCAATCACACTCCCCAAACCCCTCAAAACCCTGGGGTGGAAGGAGACAGCCACAAGCTCGACTTCGGCCAGCGATCCACTAGGAGGAGCAGGAGGGCAGCACGTTGCCACGCTCATTACTGCAACAGCTTTCGGCCACTTACTAATTAAGGGACAGGAGTCAGGGGGCAAGAGTGGTCAAGGAAGGGATAAACTGATTCACCCGGCCCTTGTTGCCACGGCTTTATCTGCACTGGCTTATGGTTTCTACAGCACATTGGAGCCCTGAGCTCCTCTTGAGCCTTATTACAAAGCAAATAATAAAGAGTCCAACTCAAATCCTTGAGACTAAGGTGGGCGTTTTTCAGTCTCAGATTCCTCAAATGGACTTCTCCTACTCTGGCTGGAGAGAAGGGAATGCTTGTATTGCTCTCTCCATAGGGCTGGACCCATTTTCTCTTCCATCCCTCTCTGGAAAAGCATGGTTGCATCATTCCTCAGTGGATTGTTTCTCATTTTGCATTCTTCCCTTCTCTCCACTCAAGCATAAGAAGTTGTTCCTGTTATAGTCATTCCTATTTGAGCAGCTTCCTCCTACACTGAGCTCTAGGACCCCGAAACGGGGAGTCACGAGGAATTTGCACCCTGATCTCATTCGCTTTTGCCCTCGAGCAGCCTGACCGCACTCCCCACGTAGCGGGCCCTCACAACGCTGCAGACAAAAAGCAAGAGTTGGCAATGAATTGCAGTGTGTGGCTCTTTTAGGGTTTTACTGTGTTGGCACTCAAGCTGCAATTAATGGAGAGCAGTCTCCTTTTTCTCAGCGTAGGGCTGATCAGTGAATGTTAAGTTTTGTAGCTGGGAGCCTGGAGTCATAAAAATTTAACAGTGCAGTTTGGTACCTTGTTCAGTACGGGTCAAAATCTGTAGCTTGGTCATAGATGTCATCTAAAACGGCAGCTTGGGCTTTTATGGAGTAGCTGAACAGAGGCCACTCCACAAAACGCTGCCACCTGGAACATTTGAGAGGCCACTGTAGTCTATTTGTGGAGCTGCCCATGGGAAAGGGATGGGGCTTATGTGGCACATTGGCACCCAGGAAGGGGATCTTACCTCTCCCTTCCCAAACTCACGCCACATGGAAAGCCTCATGAGTAGGGGATGTCCCTGTATGGACGGAGGAGAACTACAGGAAATGCTGTGCTCGAATGGACCGTGCTTTCAGAAAACCACTCCATATCCTACACTGTGATTTCCACATGGTCCTGTCACCACTGCACCCAACATTGCCATGCTCACACACCCTTCAGCTGGCCTGAAGTTCACCCAGAATCATTTATTGTTACCTGTGTAACACCTTCTTCAAATCCTTTAATGACTTCTTGCCTGCCAATCTTGAACCTGAAGGGCTTGTTTCTGTCTCTGGAGGAATCAAACTTCTTCCCATTCTGTAACATTCCTGCCAAAACAAGACACACAGTTTCAATCTGAGCTATGTCTAAATTTAAGTGCTGGAGGGGAGGGAAGGAGTGAAAAATTGATGCCTTCGTCGCATCAGCTGCTCATTTCCATTTTCACTTTGAAGTCTCATCCAAAACGCGTACGGCAGGACAGTCAAACGCAGTGGTACCATACTGTTACCTTTGCCTTCTAGTAATTTAGCCTATAGATTGGAAATCTATTTTTTTTTAATTATTCTTAAAGCAATAGGTTATAACTCATACCGTACCAAACATTGCACAGACATACAGAAGCGCTGTTGCTCGCACAGTGGAGCTTCCCAGCTCCAAGGCAAGGAACAAGCGGGAAGCAGCAGAAGAGAGAATCCTAACGCAGATGCCTCATCCAGGCCTGCTCCTAAACACAGAAATGCTCCCTAAAACATACTTACCATTTATTTTAAGGTGTTCTTTTAACAGCATAACTAACTAAAGGGCATAGCCCTTGCAGAGTACATGTCGGGTAACCAGGGGGCTGTTGCTATCTGCGGCCCAAAGCTCACCACAGTCAACAGGAGATTTCCACCCACTTCAGAGGGTGGGGATGTAGGTTCAGGTTTGGGAACTCTCAAGCCAAATTTGCTGCCAGTTAAATGCCTGCAAGTACAGAGCAGCTCCTTTGACTTGTTCCTGCAATTTTATACCAAAATACCTAGAAGGAATATTTGGTACAATACATATTTTTGCTTACAAATATCTAAAGGGTGGGTTGAAGGAGGATGGAGCCAGACTCTTCTCGGTGGTTCCCAGTGACAGGACGAGGAGCAATGGGCACAAGTTGGAACATAGGAAGTTCCATTCCAACACACGGAAAAACTTCTTTACAGTTCGGGTGACAGAGCAGTGGCACAGGCTGCCCAGGGAGGGGGTGGAGTCCCCTTCTCTGGAGATTTTCAAAACCCGCCTGGATGCAGTCCTGAGTAATGTGCTCTGGGCAATCCTGCTTTAGCAGGGGAGCTGGACTAGATGATCTCTAGAGGTCCCTTCCAACTCTGAAAATTCTGTGATTCTGTACCTTGGACTGTTTACCTTCCCTACTCGATTTACTCAGGAGTACCAGAATAACGTGCATTACACAAACGTGGCCATTCCGCACCATGCATGTGAAATTTCTACACAACGTTACAAGTGCATGTGTCCCTTCCTCGTACAGAAGGAAGAGAAAAGACTCTGCATTCAAAAATATGAAAATAGCATGAACATTTATACAAATACTCTACTACCCTCGTTCTTTATATTTTCATTCAGCCACAAGACACAGTCACAGGAACACCTTACTCATTTGTTTTGATGGGCACAACACTTTCAACCCATGTATTATGAACACATGGACGGATTCTACAGCAAATGGATAAACCTTTAGAGAGTGAGCACTACGTGATTAGGTATTCGCATTCTCTTTTCAAACAGCGGGTAATTATGTAGCTTTTAACTTAAAAACACCTGGTAATTGCTCTTTCAAAATGCTATACACTGGATATTGCAAGGTTGGGCTGATATTTATATATTAGAATAAATCCTTTCTTTGTAATGCTGTAGTGCCAGTGTTCTGGGCATACACCAGGACTCTCCTGTGCAAGATGCTGTACAAAGAAAAGTTCATTAATAAGCAAATATCTGAGAATTTTTCTGGTTGAAAACAACATTATCAAGCACAGCTTTGACAGAAAAGGCTGAGAAATACTGCTTTTATGATCCAATATGAAAAATACAGTTTTACTTTCTTTTCATTAAAGCAATTATATTAATAGACCAGCTTGATGCAAAAGTTTTATTTTTCAGTGAAAACCATCAGTTCTTGTCCAAACAACAAAAAAAGGCATACTTTGCTTGCTTAAAAAGTCTGTGCTATGAATCAAAGGTAAATATAAAGAGATGTGCCAGAACGGAAAACAAAGACTACAAGGGTAGGATTCATCTTACCTACCCTTATGTTTCTAAGATGTAGCCAGCTACTTTGAGCTAATTACTCTGCTTCCTTCTATAATTAAGTCAGAGAAAAATGCACTTTCAGGGAGCAATTCATCTAACCAAATCTAGGGATCTACATTAGGACATAATGAATAGCATCCTAGCAGTACCTATTTCTTTGCAATGAATATAAGGGAAGTCCAGACAACTAGCTCAGACATAGATGTCTCCAAATTCATTAGAAGTTAAATTAGCGGTGATGGCATTCTGGACTTGGAGTAATGAGTACGCAGTATTTGACCATTGCAGTGGGGTTCTGTGTCTAGATATTTCACATCAATATTAAAACCAAATGCCATATTAAGGCAAATTGGCTGTTGACCAAAGCCAACGTTTGTCAAAGTTGGCACTTTGGAGACGCACACGTGTGTGTGTGTGTGTCTGTGTGTGTGTATAAGGCCTTAGAAGGCAAATTATGGAACAACCTGCCCATAAGACATCTTTCATAACCTTCACCATTAGCACTTGCCATATTCCTTAAGTTTTTCACTGTGTAATAGTGAAGTATTTTACATATGCCCTGATGCAAGTACATATTATGTGATATATCGGCTCAGCGATACCCCTAAACCCCCTCCACGCAGGCTGGGAAGTCGCACCAGCTGCCTGCGCAAGGCTTTCTGGCCACAGACAAACACAGGTTAATTTGTAATGTAGAAAACCAGCCTGTGTGTGGAGGAGGGCAGGCAGGGAGAAGCAGCTCAGGGGGAACTCTCAGGCATATCATATAATCCTTTTTGAAGTATTTGATCTTAAATTTAAATGGCAGTCCTTCCTCACAGCAATTTTATTTTTAAACACATCATAAAACCTTATGGTTCTATGAAATGGAAGAAGACTATTACAGAATCCCAATATTTAATAGTTTCAATATTAAAACTTAGTACTGTCATTACATTCTGCATGTACAAAGCAGTATGCAAACATTAATTATTCTTCACAGCAGCCAAGGAGGTAGAGGAAGATATTTATTATAAAATAGCCTCAGTCTGGAAGTTCAGATTGAGATGCAAAGTTCCACAACACTTTCATATGTTTTCACTTCATTTTGTAACTAAATCCTATTAAAATACTTAGCTTAAAGGTCTGATGGTTCAAGAAATGCCACACAACAAACTCGTAACAGAACCAGAATTAACTCTTCAGAGATCCTGACCACAGCTACTGCACAATGTTTCCCATTTAAAATCACGTTTCTATCTGCCCCTGAGTTGCCAGTCTAATATATAACATATAAAAACTGACTCTTGATTTTGCCATAGAAAGCCTATAGAAGAAAACCTTGTAGAAGAAAACAGGCTGCTTCTCCTGTGTTTATAGCAATACCTTATTTTCAGCAACGGCGGAAAATCCATCAGGTGATGAATTCAGAAATATAACTGCCTCTGTCACCACCCCACCTTATTGCTTTTGGAGGACAAACTGGGATTCAAAGAGTCAGATGTGTCCATATTCGCTGAAGCTCTGGCAGGAGGGTCAATTTTTATATGACTGCCCTTTAAATGCACATCTAGTTTAGAAATGAGTCAGAGTCCCCATGTGTCCTGGAGAAGTTCCGATCCAGATTTAGATATGAACTTTAGATCTTTTTTATCTCTATTTCTGAAAGTTGGACTCGACCATTCAGGCTCCTGGGAGCTAAACCAGCATAATGTTTTATTTTCTCTCTTGCTAATGCATCAATTGATTTTCTTTTTGTGAAAAAAATTGATTTGGTTAATATTCTTCAACAAGGATGGATGCTCATCTTCGGCCTGCTAGCACCTTTATTTATCTAGCTAACAACAAGCAGAAAAAAACCCACAATCTGGAACTGAACAACGACATTGGTTTGCAAAGTCAGAACAATCAATAAGAGTTTTGACTGAGCAAGGACATCTAGATGCCTGTACCTGTTATAATAACCTAACATTTGATTCTGAAAGGTAACAATCATTGTATTAAAATAATTAATTGTACAAGCGGATTTGAAAACATTCTGATCTACAAGGTGTCCTAACTAATAATTAGTTTTTAAAAATTACGTGGCTGTAGAAAAGGAGATGTTTCAGACCACGGGTTCTGCTGAATCATTGAAGTTCAACTCATTGAAGCTGAAAATAAAAGAGCAGACAAGTCATTTTGTTAACAAACATGGCTGGGGATCCATCTAAACTGCCAAAAATACAATGCCATTTGGGCTAAAACAGCAGTGAAAACAAAGCTTCAGTCTAGGTTTAACACAAGATATTATTTCTTATTAAAACATAGGTGTGTCTGCACTACTCTTTTAACATGAATTAACTAACTGAGGTCAGTCAGCCTCAGCTAAGATCACATCATTTAAGTCTGTTTCCTAAGGGGAGAGGGCTAACGATCCTGTCTGTACTTGCCCAATAACTTTTGAATCTTTTAGCCAATTTTAACCAAGTTTGACAGAGGAGTAGGGTTCATACTGACATAAAGATCCTATGTATGTAATGAAACACAATCTGTGTAGGAGGAAGATCTTGTAAGTGCTTCTACCAAGAGAAAGGCCCAATCTTTATTTGTTATCAGAGAACCTGTATCACTGAGGAGAGGTCAGGAACGGAAAGACATGAATGCTGCATCTGGACGACAGTCTAGTCTCCTTTTTACCAGCGGGTTCCTTCACCTGCGAATGATTCGGCTGGGCATTCAACCAACCACATAACACAAATCCACAGAGCCAGCCCAGCTATTTAGACACCTACCTTACACCTATGGTCCCAACAAAACTGTGTCCCAAACCACACCCAAACCGTTATCCACACAAAAGATGGATGGAGAGAGAGAAAACCGAAGGCCCTCCATAGACAGTCTGTCAAGCTTACATGCCTGAATCTAGGAAATTTATGTGTAAAACGCCACTGCTAATGTTAGCCATCTCAAAGGTAGAAACTGCATCTCAACCTGTCATCTGAGCTGCTTCTACAGTTAATGGAGAAAGAGCGGTATCTCCAAGAATGATTCATCCCACCTAGATTTA